GGGGAGCGGCTCATGTTGGTAGACTTTGGCCCAGGGAATCCACCGCGGGGGGTTGTTAGAGCAGGCCCAATCCACCAGGACGCGACCGCCCGGCCAGTCCACGTCGCACAGGAAGCCCAGGGCATAATTCGCGTCAGCCACCTTCACGATCACCGGGTCCAGGTGTCGGGCCAGGATCTGCCGGCAATCGGCAACCCCGAAATCCGGACTGCGCGGCCGTGGGAGGATTGGCGCGTCCCGGGCGGTGAGAAACCCGCGCTCGCGATAGGGCTGATTTTCAGTTGTCATTCTTCCCAGCATAACATTGCTTAACACGCAAGGAATGTTTAATTTCCACAGCACCTCCGACAGCAATGGCGACAGTTTCCGGGGGTTTTTTCAACATTTACTCCGGTTTCTGCTAACTGCTTACTGAGCGTGCACGGTACTAATCTGCTTTTCTCGCACGGAGCAACGCGCGTGACGATTAAGCGCATTCGTGTCATGGGAATTCGCCGGCTTTACTGTGCTTTTACTGTACGTACAAAGCCCGGATAATCCGTATCACATAAGGTGTATATATGCGGTAGGGGAATCGATAATTTAAAATACAGGAGCATTCAAAAGTGTACATACGGTTGTATCACGCGAAATCACGGTAAAAAGCCTGACGGCAGGTAAACCGATAGTCTGGCCCGTAACGCTCGGGTGTATCGTGCATGTACGTCGGCAAATATCCGATCACCTTAGCATGAATACTAAGCGTACAAAAAACCTAAGCACGAATGCCTAACACTGCCCTTTTAAAAGACACCAAAACTTTATTGTTCCACCATTTTTAATTGAAAGAGTTACAAAGAAACACGCAGTTTAGTGATAGGTTAATTTAAAATCTAGTAAGCAAATAATATGGCAGTTGGAGCCGTCGGCCGCGGCTACAGGCCAATGGTTTGTCGTCGCCGGTTTTCTTATGTTTCTCAGGTTTCTTACGTTGTGCTATTGTGATTGTGGTAGAAACTGCTTGAACCGCTGCACGCCGCGCTGGTACTCCGCATTCCGGACATGCTGCCGGCGCCGGTGGAATACGCGACGACGGATGAATTGCGGGCGTTAGGCGTGGACGAGTGGCAGGAGGTATTCAGCCAGCTGGACACACTAACGCGCACCCGGCTGCGCGCCGTCTGCTCCGCGTGGGACGACATCCTGGTCGCGCCGGCGCTGACGACCAACCTCGTCCTGCAGACCAGCGCAGCCAGTGCCCAGGAGCCCCACCTGCACTACACCCTCACCGCGCCCGTCTTCCACTGCCTGCGCCCCGCCACCAAACGCCTCATCCTCCATGACCGCGTCCGCCGCATCCAGACGACGGACTATTTTGTCCTGACGGACATAATTAAGTACGTGGGAGGGGAGCATCCCGGGATCCATCTGGACAAGTTCCACATGGTGGGCCTCACCCTGACTATGAGCTTGAATTAACCGCTGCGCAATGGGTGTGAGATGACATACAGCCGACCACGGATCCGCGCTCGTCCGAAAGCAATGGCATCATCAGCATTTATGACCTTTAATTTATAACGGCGCTGCTTTTTTGTTTTCGTATGGTGCCTTTTGTGGATAACGAAAAAATCCTGAGTTGGTAGACGCTACTTAATATGATACATATTTAAAGACTGCAAAAACAGCCAAAATCGTTGGTGTTATCAAATCTTAGGTCGCACATCCAGTGTTTCTAAAACAGCAGCAGCATTTCCTTCTAACATTCCTCCGTCGACTCTGAATCGTTCGAAGTAGTACCACGCGAATGCGCCTTTTCCTGTATTAATGGCCTTGCATAAATTGCCTAAGAAAAAGTTTATTCGGCAACAGTCCGTCCACATTGCAGTAAATATTCTTGCGCAAATATAACCCTAGATTTTTAACAGAAGGAACACGCACCCAAATTCGTTAATGACATTCATGATGTAACGTTAATGCCATTCATGATTAATGCCATTCATGATGCGTGGGCTTAATAAAAACAAATAGCAGTATTTGTATACGCTTCCGCTGTTACCGATCTATCAGCTCCCGTTACAAGAAAAAGTATCCGGGTTCACGGACTGTATTCCTTGAGAATACCCAGGTTTAAGCAAGAGTGTTGACCTGCCTGTTTACTGACAATGTGCACTGATCCCTCCGCGTTCGGCACATGCAAATGTAGTTTCGCGAAGATTTGACACTCGAATAGGGTGTGTTTGGTGTAAATTTTTGCCGGAAGTTTACGAATTAAATTGAGCGTTGAGACAGCACTAGCACTTCCATGTACGTACATCAGTACATGTATGGAAACAGCCGCACACATTTACTGTACGATACTTTTATACTTGATATACACTCAACTGGCTTAAACACGTGTTTGATACGACTCAGCAAAAAACGTCGACTGATCGTAGTACAGTGCCTTCTTCATATGGCGTACAGCTTCATATGGCGTATAGCTTCATATGGCATAATCAACTGGCGTATAGCTTATACTCTGTTAAAATGACGATCAGCGTCAGCATTAGCTGTTAGTCTTTATATTTTTGTAGCATTTCGTAGTGCATTGGCTCCAAACATGACAAATGCAGATCTCTTCGAGCCATAGAAGTATGAAATTACTTAAAAATTCTCCACTTAGAATTAATATCGTACTTTTCTTTTCTACTTTTTGCCTTCCTGGACCTGTGGACGTCTCCGGCTTTTTTATTCGGATTTCTCACAGAGTTTCCTGTACATCACTAGCTGTTACTCGTAGTTGTTCTCGGACTACACTAAGTGGTACACAGGTATCTGCAGTTCACTCTCATTATTCGAGATCAAAGGTCACTTCTTGCTAGAGCTTAGGTCGCACACAAGTCTTATTGATCGCCCTCTGCTTCCATCTGAGCCTGCCGTTGTGTTACTTCTCGGCTACCATCTGGAGACACGCCACGGATGTATGATTCGTCTTTTCTACGTCGACTGGATAACCACACCGGGTTCTTCAGGGTTCCAAACAGGGATTCCAAAATATAGAATTCCACTCCGGGTTTTACTGCAACTGATTGGGATAAGAGCCGCTCTACCGATGTTGTCGTGGTCGGTAACGATGTAAACAGATCAGTGTCGCAGAACCTTACTTACCGTATGTGTCAGCAGGAAAGGTCGCCCGTCCTTACGTTCATCATACAACCTTCCCCTCTACACGATACCGCAACACACGCCTGCCATTTCTGGCCAATTCGACACAGGCTGGACTGACTGGTTTTGCTCTTATTCCACGGCGGCGCGGCCGTTAATGCACTGTTGCGGGAAGTTAGCTTCCTTCCGGCTGCATGCAGTCGATGGAGACTTTCCTGGGGCAGAGAGGTTGCCGAAGGCCCTCTCCTGCGTGCACTACAGCCCGGCGTAGATGCCTGCCATCATGATGTTTGCCGGTGCAGTGTCCGGCACGTCGGAGTCGAATAATCCAGTCTGCCCCCATCCAGGCATTGCTGTGGGTAGATGGGTAGTCAACGGGTGCTGCCCGGTGACCTTTCGCAGCGTCAGCATCGGTAGCTTGCCCTTGGAAGCAGATGATGCTGTTAATATGCTGGTTACTCCACCGCCGCAACGCTTTCACAGAAATTCCTCAGGCTTCCCGTTTAGAAGTGCAAATTAAAGGCGTGCAGTATGCTGTAAGAGTCAGCTAGTCGTCATCAGTTCCGGCCGCCGTTGTGATCGAAATTCCAATTGTATGACATCGTACTGTTTCAGGATTATGGCGCCCGTACAGCCAGTGGCCGCCGGTGCCGACGGTTATTTCCTCACGGGCTAGTTCCTCGCAAGCTCGATTGACCTTTTCCCATTCGTCGGCGGTCAGCGGACGGCAAATGCGGTTGACGACGCTGAGTAACTGCCGCAGCTGTCCGACTTCCGTCCGCAATGTACAGTCGATGGAGGCGTCCTTCAAGAAGACGTGCAGGTCGCTGGCGACGCGCGGCTGCGAGCACAACAACCTGGCGATGGGTTCGAAGAGGGACATGATCGTGATCTTTGGCAGGAGCAGCGTCCGGCACGCTTTTGACAAAGTATCCCACTTTGGTCCAGTTCCGACGCTGCTGAGGGTAATTGGCGGTCAGCGGGCGTAGATAAGTGACCTTTCGCAGCACGATCAGCGGCAACCTGAGGCTCCTTTGCGGAAAGGCAGCGGTGGACGGTCTCCTCCAGTCCCGGATGTATGACGCCGTCCATCAGTGTCAAGGACAGCGTCCACCGGCCTCGAGGCTCGCAACGATCAAAATGGTGGGGAAGCCGGCCGACGCATGGCATCCATATATGCTGATAAATGATACAGCTTACCGGAAATAGATCACGTAGCTGCGTTGCTGGGACGGCGGTTGTAGCGGTTGGACGCGGTGACACCGAGCGGCAGGGGGCTTCCGGCGGCCGATTCCGGGTCCGGAGGTCAAGAGCAATTTTTCGCTGGGAGCGGGAGCAACGCGCGCACCCATACCGAACAGCAAGGAAATTGTTTCTGCACGTACAAAATGCAGGTGTGCCATATACAGCACAACACATGTTTATATATGCGGCGAGGGATCGATAATTGACAGCTGGAACAATTACACCTGAATATCTATACTTCGAAGTATTACTTTTCGTAGCTGTACTGGTACCAACGCTTTTCTATCACTTTTTCAGTGGTGTGTCTTCTGGTGCGAGCGTGAGGTTTTTTGCACCATTCAGTCCAGCAGCAGCGATTAAAACAAGTAAGAGCGAACAAGTAAGTGGCTGCCGTGGGTGACCTTTACAAAGCAACTATGCCGTGTCTGAATAAAATGTAGCAATTTTACTATATAGTATGTACGATGCTGATAATAAGACTCATTATTTTTGGCTGGTCTTGTTTATCGTTATTTAGTCCGGCAACCCAAAGCGTTTATCGTTGTTCATCTTGGGCGACATTCAGCACGACAAATTCTTTACAGAACATTAACAACTATCAGCAGAAAATTAATAAATGTAAGTAAGGCTTCTCGTTTTCAGGCGCGCAAATCAAAGGCATGCAGCAATCAGTATTAGATACGTCATACGTGTTATCATTTCCGGCCGGTACAGTAAAAAAATGAGGAATGCAGTGCGCAGTACATGTCCGCTTAATTACTAAAGCGATATATGCTAACAGTTTTAACTACAAGAGAACTAAAACTAGGTCCGTTACAGCACAAGCTCATAGCGAAATACAAGGAGAATTACGAGTATACCGGTTTGTATGATGTATCCTACGTCTAACGGTATACGGATGAGCAGAACAGCGGCCCATTTCACATTAAGGGGAAGAAGGGGAGGGAGGGATGTCTAGCGGTGAAGCCGGGTGTGTTAACGTTCCACACGCCTTCGGGATGGTCGGGCGGCCGGCGCCCGTGGGCCCGCCGGCGGCGGGACTGGGCGTGGCCGCGATGGGGCTGTCTGGCGGCGATAACGGCGTGGCTGTGGCCGTAGTAGCAGACTTCCTCTGAACTGCCGGCCGGGGGCGGGGACCTCTGAGGCGCGACGGGGGCCGACTGAATTAGCGGGTAGGAGTAGAGGAAGGCGTGCGCGGCCAGTCGGGAGAGCGGCGGCTGCGGCCGCTCGTTCAACCTGCAGTTATATATACACCGGAAGCAACCAGCGGATGCGAAGTAATAATCATACATTTACTGTGTTAATGGCCCATATAATATTATATGGTCTGGTGGTAGTAAGTCTGGCTTTAAGGATTGTATGTCCCGGGTTCGATTCGTATTCTAGGTTGGGTAACTTTTATCCCATAAAATCAAACCAAAAAAAGTATAAAATTTTCCAGTAGCCTGGTAAGATATCGCCATTAAAAGGGGTTGGCTACTGTAGTGCGATAATAATAATAACAATAATAACAGGCACTCTCTTTACCCGTACAATTTCAGCATTAACGGCATACGGAACGCATGTTCGGCGCCGACGGCCAGTTCGTCGCAGGCTAGACTAATGTCCTCCCATTCCGCGGGCGTCACCGCGCGGCAACTGCGGTTAACCGCGCTGAGAAACTGCCGCAGTTGACCGGCTTCCGGCTGCATACAATCGATGGCGGCTTTCCCGACACAGACATCCAGGTCATCGCGGACGTGCTCCCGCGAGCACCACAGCCCGGAGATCGGTTGGAGGATGGAGAGAATCGTGACCTTTTGCAGATGCAGTGTCCGGCACGCCTTTGCCAAACACCCCAGTCGGCCCCAGTCCAGGCGCTGCTCCCGGTGATTGGCAGTCAGCGGGTGCTGACAAATGACCTTTCGCAGAATAATCTCCGGCAGCCGGAAGCTGTTAAGCGACAGGAAGCGGTAGACGACCGCCTCCAGTGCCGCACCGACGCTGCCGTTCGTCAACGTCAAGGACAGTGTCCGCTGGTCGACGGTGTGCTGCAGGATGTGCATTAGTTGGGCCCACTTGGGTGTCGGCTGACTCGGCTCCGGTTCATCCACCTCCGTTCCCTGGAAGTGCCACACGTCGATGGCCACGTGCCGGCGCTCGCCGGCCAGCGCGTCATACCACGCTGTACATACCCTGCAACGGATAGGCAGCGAGTGACCTTTTTTGGGACGTCCCAAGTAAACGCCACTACGGACCTGCGAGCGTTGGCCCAAGTGTGGATGCCCTGGATACTCCGCACGACCGCCACTTGCAGCTCGTACGGCAGCCGACGCATCCAGAAGTCACTCGGGATGCTCACGCGCGGTCGACCGCCCACCGGGAGTATGCAGGACCGCTCGACCAGCTCCTGGAGGAGGACTTCCGGGAACCGCGGAAACCTGACGTGGCAGGCGTGGTACTCGAAGACCACGCGGACGACCCGGTCCTCCATCGCGACGCGTAGGGCGCTGGCCCACTGCAAAACAACGACTTATTCAACTTCCCGCTGTTTTTACGGCGCGCTTACTCACCTCCGGCTTGTAATCGCTGCAAGCCCGCAGCAGCCGGGGTAAATCCAGTTGGTCCGGATGCCGGCCGGGATCCAGACGCACCACCTGCGGGTGGATGTCGGGGTGGCTGCTCGGGCTCACGAGCGACAAGCCGTATAAGAGCGGTTCCCGGGACGATTTCGAACACCCCCAGCGGAGTTGTACCGGCTGCACAAAACAACCCCGAGCGCTTCCGGGATCCCCATCCGCGTCGGCCTCGACACAAACCAGGCCGGAAGGACACCGGGCACCGCTGCTGACCACGCGTCCCGCCTGAAACAGGAAGGAACCGGCGGAGTCCCGGCGCAACGCCACCATGACCTCCATATGCATCGCGGTGGTGATTTCGCTCCGGGGGAGCGGCGCATGCTTAAAGACCTTGTCGCAGGGAAACCACCGCGAGGGGCGGTTGAAGCATCCCAAATTCACCAGAACGCGATTACCCGGCCAGTCCACGTCGCACAGGAAGCCCAGGGCGTGCTTCCCGCCGTCCACCTCCACGATCACCGGGTCCAGGTGTTTGGCCAGGATCTGCCGGCAGTCGGCAGCCCCGGCACCCGGGCTGGGCGGGGGCGGAGGGATCGGGGCGTCCCGGCAGAGAAACCAACGTTCCGCATAGACCAACCGTCGGGGCTGGTTTTCCGTGGTCATTTCGTCGAGCACAACCGGCACTTTAATATAAACTGACCGTTAATATTTTCTACAACACCGCGGGCGATAGAATCACGACGGTCTACAGGGTTTATTCGCCATATACTCGGGTTTCTTGTTAACCGTTTACTGAGCGTGCCCGGATCTAATCTGCTTTTCTCGCACGAAGCAACGCGCGTGACGATTAAGCGCATTCGTGTCATGGGAATTCGCCGACTTTACTGTGCTTTTACTGTACGTACAAAGCCCGGATAATCCGTGTCGCATAAAATGTATATATGCGGTAAGGGAATCGATAATTTACAGGAGCAATCAAAACTGTACATACGGTTGCATCGCGTAATCACGGTAAAAAGCCTGACGGCTGGTAAACCGATAGTCTGGCCCGTAACGCTCGGGTGTATCGTACATGTACGGCGGCATTCCCATCATCCCATGTAACCGGAAGTTGCAAGAAATTTGACAGCGTTGCCAAACATTTCAGTCGCCGGAAGCACTTCTTTCTGGGAAAGAGATATCTGTTCTGTTTCCTTCATGAGTCGTTTATGAATAAAACAATTGCCAAATATTTCTATAGGGTGGCGCTGACAGGTGACCTTTCGCAGCTGTATCGCACCATCACTGGCAGAGGGAGCCTCTCCCCGGAAAGACAGGGCTCCCGGTTTGGTCTCCGCCTCCGGTCTCCTCTTGTCCCGGATTGATAACGCCGTCCAGAACTGTCAGGCAGCCTCCACGGGCTGGCGTGGTGCTCCCGGATCGCCGTCAAGTCCGGCAGTCGGTGCGTAGTCCCGTAACCGTTTCCGGGCGGCGCAGCGCTCTGTGAATGGACTTTCCAGGTACTGCGCAGGGAACCTACCTACAGGCTGTACGAGAGCCAACGGAGCGAGGGTCGTGGCTCCGAGGTTCCCAGCATTGGGACCCGGGATTCGGCTGGAGCGTTTCCATAGCCACAATAGCCTTTCAGCGGGCTTTACTCTACCACTGAAGTTCTTGTACCACCTCAGCGTTTTCTATAACTTCTTCAGTGGCGTGAGTTCCGGTTGCGAGCGAGGTAGGGTTTCTTGCACGATTCAGTTAACAGCGGTTAAAGTAGTCGACGGAGCGGTGACCTTTATGAGGCAAATATGGTATGTATGTATTAATAATGATATTAATTTAACATTACAACGACAACGGCTGTACCCTCCCGGAAAAAGTGAGATCGTAGCGTGTTGCGTTGATATGACTCCACATATCAACGGAGCACGTTAGTATGTCCGCTCTCGCATTGGCCTGTCGAGCATTTATCCGCTCTGTGAGTGGCCAGGTTTCACCCAACCGTATTTGCGCAAAACCACTAGGCGGGATTGAAACACTAACGCTAACTGGCACAATATTATCCAATTGGGAAATAAATAGCCAAACAGCACAGCATTTTAAAAGCAGCAAATGCCAAACAGTTCTTGCAAAATTGTTTAATAGTAAAAACAATTAAAATTTGTTGGAGTTTTTGTTGCGACCTAGTTTTCTTTATAACTTAATTGTCCATTTGGTGTTGGTGGTTTATTTAGACTGTTTTTTCATTTTTTATCCGTAAAGGAATACGGTGCAGATGGGACAAGTTAGTGCGGAGCTCCGCTGACGGAATAGCACCTAAAACCAGCATCGACTCATAAACAGTCTACACTGTGGTTGTCTCTAAAAGAAAAATGCAAAATTGCAGCGATAAACGCAGTAAACGTACCTTTGTGAATCGCTGTTTGAAGAAAGGCAGCAACAAGGAGCTCCTGTATGTTGAGTCGTTGTGGTCCCAGTTATCTGTCCATTCAGACATTTAGAAGACGCTATCGCACAGTTCTTACTATGTAAAGCTTGAAATCTACCTTTCATAATAATGGAAATCATCATGAATAAAAGGAGCTCCTACGTTGAATTCCAGGCGAAGGTTCTTCACTTGTGGAATGTTTGCATGAGATGAGTAAGTTTTATCGCTCCTACTCTGAACATCAGCTGTACTGGTGCAGACGTTGGAACTGCGACGTGCCTTTACGTGTTATACTCATTACTCCGTGTGAGCTCAGCGCTGCGCTGCACGTCACTTAGTGCGAGTGAGTGCAGTGGCCCGAACTTGTACGAGCAGGCGCTGTACGAATTATTCCCTTAGTGTGACCCTAACGAACCGTGCATAACGATGTTCTTGTAACTCACTAGCGGAACTTCTTCGTTTTGACGGAAGATTTTATTTCCGGCAGGGGTACAGCAATCAAATTCATATAAGGCGCAAATAAAAGGCATGCAGTAGTCAGCATCAGCTATGTACTATCATTTCCGGTCTAGTAAAATAATAGGGATAAGCGGACTACATGCTCGGTGAAACTCTAGCGCTAATTGCAACAGTTTTCAGCAGTTTTAGTGGAGCAGAACTTTACAAGGAATTAAAATGATGCCGGTGGTATGTGATGCTAATAATATATAGTAAAACGCTACTGTATACTGTTAATAGCATTAACATATCGTCAACGTATGCGCATATAAAAAGCAGCGGCCCCTTTCACAGCAAGGGAAAGAACGGGAGGGAGGGATGTTTAGCGGTGAAGCCGGGAGAAGGTGTGCTCCAGACGCCCTCGTGCTGGCTGAGGTGCCGGCGCCCTTTGGCCCGCGTGGGGCGGGAGTGGGCGTGGCTGTGAGGGTGGGTCTGTGTGTTGACGACGCCGGCTTCCATCGAGCCGCCGGCCGGGGATCTCCGCGGTGGGCCGGGGGCGGTGTGAATTAGCGGGTACGAGTAGAGGAAGGCGTGCGCGGCCAACCGGGACAGCGGCGGCTGTGGTCGCTCGTTCAACCTGCAGGCCAAAAGCGGGCGAAAGAGTTTTAAACAGCGAATATCTATCCAAATACAACGGGGAAACGCGATTTGTGTAATGGGTACGATCCCCGATCAGAATAGCATAGAGGAAGTGTTTCTTTTGTAAACGCCGTTTTGTTCTGGTGCATAGTTTGTACTCGTACCATGATACATATTAAAGGTTTCTCGCACCTGCAGTACGCCGGAAATAAATGCAAATTTGATTAATACTTTTTGTATATAATCAACTAAAAAATCTGTCCGAATTAACGTGAGACGGGACAGTACACAACACACTCATAGCATTACCCCGCATAATCTCCAAACTTTATACGCTAAGCACCAAACTCCTCGCGCGTACTTACAATTTCAGCATCAACGGCACCCGGAACGAATGGCCGGCGCCGACAGCCAGCTCGTCACAAGCCAGACTGATGTCCTCCCATTCGGCGGGCGTCAGGGCGCGGCAGCTGCGGTTGACCGCGCCGAGGAACTCCCGCACTTGATCGTCGACCGGCCGCATGCAATCGATGCACACCCTCCTTAAGTAGACATCCAGATCGGCGCGGACCTGCTCCTGCGAGCACCACAACCCAGCGATGGGCTCGAAGAGGGACGTCATCGTGACCTTTTGCAGATGCAGTGTCCGGCATAATACGCTGAAATTGCCCAGTCGGCCCCAGTGCAACCTCTGCTGCCGATAAATGGCGGTCAGCGGATGTTGACAAGTGACCTTCCGCAGAACGATCGCCGGAAGGCAGACGCTCTTTAGCGACAGAAAGCGGTGGACGACCGCCTCCAGCGCCGGACTGAGGTCGCCGTCCATCAGTGTCAAGGACAGCGTTGACTGGTCGACGGAATGTTCCAGAACGTGGATCAAGTGCGCCCACCGGGGCGCCGGCTCCGGACCACCTGCAATCCTTTGCAGATCGATGGTCACGTGCCGACGGTGGCCGGTCAGCGTGTCATGCCACGCGCTACACACCCTGCAACGAACAGATAGCACGTGACCTTTGCAACAAACGGACAGCGCGTGACTTTAAAAAAACGTCCCCTTTTTGACATGGTTTTCGGATCTCGATAACTACACGGTAAAATCTCTTGAAACTGGCTTTTTCGACATCATTGAAGGTCTGACATATGCAACGCACCTTCGAGCGTTAACCACGCTGTGGATGTCCTGGATGCTGCGCAGGACCGTCACCTGCAGCTCGTACGGCAGCCGCCGCAGCCAAAAGTCCAGGCCTCCGCGGGCGGTGGCCGTCGCCGCGGTCGTGCAGGACGCCCGGACCAGTTCCCGGAGAACGCCATCCGGGAACCGCGCGAACCGGACGTGCGTAGCGTGGTACTCGAAGACCACCCGAACGTCCCGATCCTCCACCGCGATGCGCAGCGCGCTGGCCCACTGCAGAGCGTACCTGCACCATGCCCTGAATTGTACACTTTCTGCGAAGCGTATACTTACCTCCGGCTTGTAATCGTTGCAGGCCCGCATCAACCGCGCTAAATCCAGTTGTCCAGGACGCAGGTCGGGGTCCAGACGCACCACCTGCGGGTCGATGCCGAGGAGGCCGTAATCGCTCACCGGGGACAGGGCGTGTAAGTGCGGTTCACCACGTGATTTCGGCCACATCCGGCGGAGCTGCACCGGTTGGACGAAGTGCCGCCGAAGGGTCGAGGGGTCTCCCGCTTCCCGATCCGCTTCGGCCTCGACATAAACAAGACCGGAAGGACACCGGGAACCGGTGCAGACTACGCGCCCCGGCCGAAACAGGAACGGGCCGGCGGAGTCCCGGCGCACCGCGGCCATGACCGGCATCCCGGCGGTGGTGGCGCTCCGGGAGAGCGGCTCATGCTGGTAGACTTTGTCGCAGGGCAACCACCGCGGCGGGCGGTTAGAGCCCCAATCCACTAGGACGCGACCCACCGGCCGGTCCACATCGCACAGGAAGCCCAGGGCGTGCTTCCCGCCGTCCACCTCCACGATCACCGGGTCCAGGTGTTTGGCCAGGATCTGCCGGCAGTCGACAGCCCCGGAACCCGGGCTGGGCGGGGGCGGAGCGATCGGGGCGTCACGGGCGCTGAGAAACCAGCGTTCCGCATAGACTAACCGTCGGGGCTGGTTTTCCGTGGTCATTTCGTCGAGCACAACCGGCACTTTAATATAAACTGACCGTTAATATTTTCTACAACACCGCGGGCGATAGAATGACGCCAATCTCCGGGGGTTAATCGACATATACTCGGGTTTCTTGTGACGGTTGACTGAGCGTGCCAGGTCCTAATCTGATTTTCTCGCACGGAGCATAAACGCGTGACGATTAAGAGCAGTTATACTTCATGGGAACGTACAGAACACAGATAACCCGTGTAATTGAATATATATGCGTCGAAGGAATCGATAATTTACAGGAGCAATCACAGCTGTACATAGCTTGTATCAAGTAACGACACTAAAAGGCCTGACGGCAGGTAAACCGATATAACAAATAGAGTATGGTTTGGGGCGATATGTTGCACATGTACCGCGGCACTCCCATGTAACCGCAAGTTCCGGGAAATCTGGAAGCCCAGCCGGCAAATTCAATCGCCGGAAATGCTTATTTCTGGAAACTGGATATCTCTTTCATCCATTAGTGGCTTGTGTTTTTCCACTGGTACTTTTCATGGATCGTACCAGTTCGGATTTGGCCAGAGAAGCGCGTTCCACGGCTTTATTCTCCAGCAGCGATTTATCTCGCTGTCAAGGCGGGAATGCTACGGCTGTGTTGAGTCTGTTGACTACGTTAACTTTTAACCCCGAGAGAAAATTATTAGAGAATTTGGTTGTTTTTCATTGTTTAAATTTTATATACTGCACGTGTACATAACATGCCGTACGTATTGTGGTTGCGCTTGCAGTTAATGTTACGTAGAAGAATACTGGCTGCTAAAAAAGCTTTATGTACAGTTAGTATGTTGATGGCAACTATATAATTAAACCCATTTTATAACCGATACTATTACACGTTTTCTTAGTGACCTTTGTGTACATAGATAATTTTATAATCGAGACATGTAATTATCTATGTCAGTGAACTCTATATATAACCGATTTCATCAACGATATAAAAAGCATAAAGACCTTTACATACATAAAACTGTATATTTTTTACTTGGCAGTGGCCCATCCATAACGCAAAAACCTTGCGCTGGTATGCACTACTCAAAATGATTTTGAATTCAAACACTGATATAGAATATAGATATATAAATGTAATATATATAACTACTATATATAAGCTTAAAGTTTGGAGATTATGCGTGGTAATGCTATGAGCGTATTGTGCACAGTCCCTTCTCGTGTTAATTAGGACAAATTCTTTATTTGATTGTATGTATATACTGGCTACTGAGTGGCGCTCATTGATGTACATATTGAAAAATAAATTACATCATTATAAACTACATACAGTGCTTACGTTATTGACCTTCATATTATATGACTGCAAAATTTTTATATACAGCATTACAAGGTTATCAGTTATGTACAATTAATATATATATACATATACGATATACAGATATATCTTGACCGACTGTCTGATTATATGCTGTAAATATTGCGAGTAATTATTTATTTGGGTTGCTTCTTGTCGTTGACTATATACCAGACAATTATCAAAACAAGCGCCTGACTGAACGGCCTTAATGTTAGGGCATTCTAACTGGAATAATTTGCCTGCATTATGAATGCCGGCTGTGGCGTTTAATAAGCTTCCGGCCGTGAATAACAAGAAGCTGACGCTATACATATCACAAGCAATACAATCCATCTTTTGAAATGCAGTGGTGTGTCGCGCTACGAGGGAAAATGGCAAGCTAATAACCGGCGGAACCCGTTCCGTTCAACACAGCGATTCATATCAGCTATCGTTGTAGTGCTCAACAAGACCGCTGCGGCACGACAGACGTGTTTACACTGGTTGGCGCAGCACATGATCGGATGGAAAACACAGCAATCAGCATCATCAAGGCATACACGGTATACGTAGCACCATGTACAGCGCAGCACACGGTACTTGCATTTTAAAACGTGCGAAACTCTAAGCGTAAGACAGCGCAACGGCACAACGTTGCGCAAATAACAATATTTTCTTTTAACGGGACATTCAATACTCCCCAACACGCTGGATAAAGACGCTGGTATATTAAGGTACGGTATCTGTTTATATATGCGGCTCTCCTCCTTCTCACAGCTTTGCGCAAGAAACGTTCCGAAGCGGGGATGGTATTAATTTTCGTGTTCGTCTGCGTGCCTAGGGTTTTAGCATGTGCGTAGTTGACAAAAATATCGGTACAATATAGGCAATATAGCGTACCTGTTCTTTGCAGCTCCCATATTTTGATTTGGAGGAAGGAGAGCGTGCCAATCTTCCATTCAGTTAGCAGAAGTTACATCGTTTATCCTGGTATTAACCGGTTTGTTGTACTCCCGATACCAACGGAACTTGCGTACACCACTGCAATCATCGGATTCGGAGATGGACGCCGTCCCGGTGGTGGTGGCCCGACGGCCGCTGGACAGCCTGTCCGGGCACATTCATCATGACCGGGCCGCCGATCATGTGGACGCCAGCGAGGTACATATATGCGTTGGACGTCCACCCGCTGCACATATATATATTTTAAGAATGACAGCTATATATATCGTATACAGTACTGTACATATATTTTACGAATGACAGCTATATAAAATTATATCATATACAGTATATACATTTTAAGAATGACAGCTATATATACGTATTTTACATTACATATAACTAACTGCATGTATAGATATTTTTTACGCAGCATTAGCATAATATGTGCACCTGTATTATATATGTGTCCCTGCAGGCGTTGCTGCTGCACCCCTCCAGCGACCACATCGACACGGTGGAGCACTCCGTCCTGGCGGACGCCGGGGGCCTGTCCCCGGAGGATCCCTCGCAGTACTTCAACTACGCCTGCGCCAAGGTGTCCACCACCGCCAGCGGACCCTCGTCTCTCCACACCGAAGCCGTCTGCATCGAGATGGGCCCACTTCCGGCGCAACCGCATCCCCGAGGTACGTGCTCCTGTCTTCGTCCTCACTTGACGTTGGCACGCATACCAACTGCCGAACAGCGGCATAAGAAAACATAAGAAAACACGGAAAATTACTCAGTGTCCCATCCGTTTCCCGACTACGCTCAAATAAGTGCATATATCACACGTCTGACGATAATTATAAATAACATTAACACTGCACTGTTGATCAACATGCTACCAGCACGTACAACGAGATACCGTTCAGTACTGCCATGTTATTACGCTAGTTAAATAACGCTCGATTAGGCGAATTTGCTCCGGTCCCGGGCCTTATCGGCCGCGCTCGTTTTCCCTTGACAATAGGTCAGCGTCAATATATGTTTGCAGCGATAGTGCAATTATCGGCCGCTCAGTAGATAACGCAATTAAGCCGCATCATGCACACAGACAACTGCATTTTCATTCGCACACCAGCGATTAATTATTACTACGACCATCACTTGTCATCATAACAAGCAACGTACCCAACCCAGTTTCCTCTTTATTCACTTCCCATTTGTAGCTCCTAATTCCCCGTCTATCGCGGAATTTTTTCTACTACTTTTCTTTATATATACGGTATTAATTTTTTTCTGACCCGATTATTATCCGGCTGATTGATTTTTCCAATTAAGTTGCGGATTATTTAATATCGATTAAATATATAAAAAATGAGTATAACGGAGGGCAGCGTGGCGGCGGTGGAGCGGCCGAGCGAGATCGATCTAAAGGTCATCCGCTCGGTGGACTCCACGGGGCAGGTGCAGCTGGAGCTGAACGCCCCGGGCCACGCCCACCGCGCCAGCACCGCCGGCGCCAGCAGCCACATTAACCCCGCCTACGAGTGCGAGTACACGGACTATTCGGCAGGTGTCGGCGTCAAAGCCCTCGGCTGGCTGACGTGCCCGGTGGCGCTGGTGGAGGAGAACGCGCCGCTGCCCGCCATCTCCGTCTTCGCCGACGCGGACGCCACGGACGAGCTGGAGCTGGTGGTGCACACCAACGGCGAGGGCACCGCGCAGGTGGGCGGGCCGCGCGTCGTCTCGTTGCGCTCGCAGGGGGCGCTGAAGCCGTCGGTGGCCAGCTTCGAGGGGGTGTGTATTAAGCGCGCCGGACTGTACGTCGTGGAGGTGCGGTGTGTGCGGCAGCCGGAGATATCCCTCGTGGCCGACCACCCCACGGAAGTCGGTAAGGACATTCGCTGGGTCAACTTCAGTTTTTCTTATGTTTTCTTATGCTTTCTTGTGTATTTAGTGACGCGCATCGACACCCACAGCCCGCTGGACGACGTCGGCGTCCCGGAGGAGATGGGACTGGCCGGTCGCGTGCACATGTGGGGCGGCGGTTAGGAGACACTCGCCGATGAACCCGCTCGATGACCAATAGTGGCCAATGTATTTTTCCGGTTATATTTTTGTTAATTCCATTTTATTGTCAGTAAGTGGTCTGAAATCGAAAATATTAATACGTGCACAGTTACTTGAAGTGTTTTAATAATTGATTTATAATAATACGCTTGTTACGAATAGATGGCATAATTTGATATTACAACGACATGAGGATCAACTTAATTACTTTTTTAATTTAGCCGGCAGAAATGACGTTGATTCACTGAGACTTCCTTGTAACAGCCTTCTGCTAATGTTCTAGTTCAGTCTTCCGGTTTGTGCTTTGTAAATAAAATGGAAAGTAATTTTAATGCCATTGAATTCATCGTCCGTCTTTCGTAAATACATTATACAGATACGTGTACCTCGTATAACGTATTTATATAAGTATCGTACTGACTTTACTTGTAAAAGCGTAAAAAAGCGTCTATCAAGACCGCAATACAAATTCATGAGTCGGATGAATAATCGCGCCTAAGAAAACAGTCAGAACACCACTTTACAACAATCTAACAACATTTCAACAAATAGAACTCATACACAGACGATCATTGCACATATATCTGTATGAACACAAACGTCACGCTCCGACAGCCGGCATTTCTTCAGGTGGTCAGCGCGGGATCGGCGATGCGGCCGATGAAGAGCGGCACGTCGAGCTGGTTGTGCCAGACCAGCAGCAGGAAGGGCCGGTTGGCCTCGAACGCCGGGCTCGGCACGCACAGGAACTCGGCCGAAAACATGGTGGCCACGCTCGACCGCACGCCCAGCTCGTCCACCTCTACCATAACGTATAACGTTAAATCCCGTTAAATCCTACCCAGTACGACAGCAATTCCCAAAATATTAAAAAAATTCTCAACCTCACAAAATCATCCTAATTCAACTTATTTCTCACAAAAATAGTCTGAAAAGAATCTTGCTCAAGGAAAATCAACCCCCAAAAAATTCAAATTATTCAAAAAACGCATTAAATCCACCCCAAAAGTATGTAGTAAGTACGAGGCGAAATTTATTCACAAAAAACGATCACCGCACAAAAATATGTACAAGTTCTTAAGATCATTCAAAAAGCTAAAAAACAAAATCGAAAATAATAAAATCAAATCAAAATCAAACAAATAAGTACGAAAAAATTAACAATCAGTTTAAAAAAAAACCCTTGTTAACTGAGCCACTCACCGAACATAATTCTAAAAATAATTTAAAAATTTTGTTCAAAAATTATAGGTAATCCAAAATATGAAATCGAAAATCAATTTGAAAAAACCCGGTACAACTACTCACCGAACACGATATTGTGGCGGAACTCGGTGACGCCCTGCAGCGGGCACTCCTCGAACATGTCCGAAAACCCGGTGGCGGTGTTGTTCAGTTCACCCAGCCCCAACGCCTCCATACCGCGTCGCAGTTCCACCTCGCACGTAATCCGGAATTTCGGCAAGGACAGCGCCATGCCATAGCGTATACTCTGCCGCCGCCACCCGCGCAGCATCTCCACACTAAGACTCTCCTCCAGCTGCCGCAGTGCCTTCCCGCCCGCGGCCGCCGGTAGAATACACATGACGCTGTACCGCTTTTCACCGGCCTCCATAATCACCATCTGCGGATCCGTCGCCGCGGTCTTCTTCATCACGTTAAACGACGTCCACGTCGTATTCCCGGATATCAAAAACGGGACTGTCTTCTGACTGCCGTCCAGGCAGGTAAACACGCCGTCGCGGGTGTCCTTCTCTTCAAACTGCAGCGCCCACGGCGCGGAGAACGTCAGCAGATTGATTATAACCAGACTGGTTTGCCAATTATCAAGAACGCTGCTCATACTGTCCACCGGCAGGCGGTCGGCCATTTCGCTACTGGCGTATTTATTCAGAAACTCCGCATACGCCGCCCGGGCGGCGGTTGCGTTCTCAAAATCCACGGGTAAAAACACCACATCGGATTTGTTGAGCATCGCGTCTTTGAACGACTGTTTCAGCGTGAGGCGCTGGCTGTACAAGACCGCGTTGACTTGGCTGAACGCCGCGTCACCCGCGACGCAGGATAACGCCGCGCTGACGTCTTCAATGCTGCGCCCGTCGGGACACAGCAGGGCTAGAAGATCCTGGCGCAGTTGATCGCGGGCGCCGAGCAGCAGGGCGAATAACACGTGCTGAATGGAGTAGGGGCAGACGATCAGGTTGCTGCTGGCGCTGGGCGGTTGCGCTTGCGCCACGGCTTGGAAAATCTTTACAGCCACATCGGGATGCTTGTCCATGTTTTCCCTTGGTTTCTCGTCTCCCGCGCTGTTTTGAAGGCGGAAAGAAGCGAAGATTGGAAAACAGCCACAACAAGTTTCCTCTCTGTCCTTCGCATCAGCAGTCCGATGACGAGACTTTGCAGGATTCCAGGGCATTGATTTACCGTGAGCAATCCCCGATTTTCCAGTTTCCACACAGCTCAGCCACCTGCGCGCAACTTCGAAACTGCGCGTACATCCGGAACACACTTCTCACAAGATCAGAATCAATCTGTTTGCCTCGTGGCATCTTTCGTCTAAGACAGACCACAAAAGATATTTGAAAAGCATTCACATAAAAAATAGAAATGAAAATGTGCATCCGTTGAGTTAACGTTTGCACTGCAAGAGAAGTACAGGGATCCGGGCAGGCTCCCACAATTTCAAGTATCCGCCGCGTTGGACGTGCACTACTGTCTGTACGCAAGTGGCCCGCTCCCTGTACACTTCAAACGTGAGCAAACTCGTCTGCCAAATTTTGCAAACAGATGTAATTTTTACTGCAGGATTTTTATTTGTTCAAAACGTTTGTCGCAGTTAAGATGCCCCGCGGTAAAGCAATTGATCCCGATCTCGTGAAGACGGTTTATCGGCTGTATGCGCAGTTCAAGAGTTATTCGAAGGTGGGGGAACTGTGCGGGAAGCACAAATCGTGGGTGGGACGCGTGATGCAGCATTACGATCAGTCAACGGGTCTGCAGAAGACGGCGCACCCGCGCGGCCGCGCCACCATCATCACGCCGGAGAAGGAGCGGGAGCTGGAGGCCTTTTTCCAGGAGAACCCCGACATCAGCAATCGGAAGGCGGAGGTGGTGGTGGGGGTGAAGCGCGGGACGCTGGGCGGCTGGCGACGCAAGCGCAGCAAGCAGCAGCGAAAAGTCAAAGCTGCTGCCAACAAACCAGCTCCAAAGAAGTCTTCCACCGCGTCTTGATTAGGTAAGCAATCACGTTGCGATGGATATACCGATATAGTTGATTGCGAGAATATTTTTTTAACAGTTCCAATGTCGGCAGCTTGGGCTGTTTTTGAAATATTTCTGTTTCGGAAAGAAACTGGCTGGAAAACCGAAAATAAATCGCCAATTTTTTAGAAAATGAATTTTTCAGGTTTTATCCGTTTATTTTTTCGAATAGTTTTTCTGTGATATCAACAAGGAATTAACAATTATAATTATTGATCCGTCGTATTTTTCAACAGTTAGAATTCCCGTTGTAATTTTTACTGGAAATATCGGAATTTAATTTTGTCAGGTGTTTCTCCATGTAGAATTATTTGAATAATTTAGTTTGTCTTAATTTCAAAGCGTTTCAGTTTGTGGAAGCCCGGTTTGATTTGGAAATGATTTGATTTGGAGCTGGAAATATCAAGCCTGTCATTTGTTCGATAGGTCCTTGATAATGTGGCGATGGAGAAATAAATTCCCCTGGGGAAGGCCAAAATGTGGCCGCCCGCGAGATTCAACGCGCGGGCCGTGTTGTTGCGGATGTTTTCCCCTCCTGGATGCTTTCGGCTGCGGGATTAGCGCTGTGAAGCGCCACACGGCCATGGGAAGCCCTGGACAATGTTCGTACATCTCGCGGAGGAACGCCAGATAAAATTGTTTCCAGTGCAATTTTTGCCTACTATTTTTTACTAATTTAGCGTACAATACGTGCTGTTTTTTTTTGAGAATGCAGCACTGGGATTTTTTCCCTAGTTTGGACTGCTCTGTTGCGTGAAAATATTTTGAACGTACTGCAAAAATGGAGTCTGCCTGTACGAAAATAATATGTAAAGCGTCAACTGCGGAATATGTAGAAAATTATATAAAAAAAATAAATCAGTCATCAAAATGAAATCAATCAATCATCCAGAAATAAGTGGCAATTTAAAAAGAGTTTAGATAAAATAATTTTAAAAAAACTGCGGTTAAATAATAAGTAAACAACTGACAATAAATCATCCAGATTAGTAGCAAATAAAATACCCGCGAGAATGATAAATAAACAATAAAAATATACAAATAAATTCTACGATAAATAATTTGTCATAAATCATCAGAAATCCAGTCTGTTGTTAGTCGTTGCAATCAGTCAATGAACGGACACATGTGCGGTCTCGCGTAAAATTCCTTCAATAATTAGCTTCAAAAAGAAATGTAGAAAAACACTAACGCAACGAACGCGGGAAGAAAAGAACGGTACGGCGGCCCGAGCCCATGCAGCGCTTCCGTCGAAATTGTTAATTAATTTAGTAGTCGTCCAGATCGAAGTCGTGCTCGGCGGCGTAGTCGTCGAGGAGGCTGGTGTCGAAGTGCTGCAGCTCCACCTGGTAGCGCAGCATGCCGCCGATGCCGCCGAAGCCGCGCACGAACTGCGAGCCCTCCGGCGACTTGTCGGTGACGATCTCCAGCGTCGCGCCAAAGTTCTTGTACTCGTTGGCCAGCCACTCCAGCAGCGCCATCTTCTCCTCCTCCTCCAGCTCCGTACCCGTCTGCAACACGCACCGCACATCACGCCAGCATCCCCAACCAGTTAACAACCGCCACCATGAGCCAGTCCACTTCACACAGCGTTAAGCTTTTTTCCAAATAAACGACTCGTATGTAGCTAGAAAATTTATTTCGGAAAAAATGCAATTGTAAATGAATTTTAAAAAATTATTCTCGTTTATGATTTGTGCTAGAAAATCAAAACTACATGAATACTTACCGCAATCTTTATTTTCAACATTAATTAATTATTCCAATATATATTCCATCCACTGGACATTTAATTGATCAAGTCCTGCATTTAAATTATTTAAATAATTTTTTTAAAAAAAACAGCAATTGCCTTACGACCCGTTTCCACTGCTCACCAAGCGCGATTCATACGAGTAATTTGCATGATACTGGAAATTTAAAAACAAAATTTAAACTGGTATTTTCCAAATATTTTTCCGAAATATTTTCCGAATATTTTCCGAATATGTTTGTGTTATAAACGAAGAAACAGAAACAAAATTAATACTAACTTTATTCAATCTGGTCAATTTTTCTGTACAAAAATTAATTAAATAAAAATTGCAAGAAAACTTTTTTTAAACCACTGGAAATGCCTGATTGAAAACGGTGAATTGAGGAGGAATTTCGCCGCCTGACTTACGTCTTTGTCGGTGAGGTTGCTCTTGTCCTGGGTCTGGTTGGGCCGGAGGTAGACGATCTTCTTCTCGCCGGTGTTGGTGTTGCGCAGGACGTAGCGCATGATGTCCAGATTCTCCCAGCAGATGAGCGTCTCCACCGCGCCCGACTCCAGACACTTGACCGTGTCGTCCACGCCGAAGCACACCTTACCCGTGTCCTGCGACACCTCGTCGAAGAACTTCCCTGCACATGTGCAACCGACATTAACAACTCATTCATTATTCTACATTTTATTTGTTTCAACGTTAACCGAAATCCACAGTAAATTAATTATCAGTTAACTGATTACTGAATTAACTGATTTAACTACTGAATTAATTATCGATTTAATTACTAAAATTAATTGATTTTCTGATTATTCATCAACAGGAATTGTCGATAAATAATTTGCCGTTTTCTTTGTGCTTTGTTTCTGGCTTGGATAGGACCTCAATGACATCAGAATGTTATGATGTCAGATGTCATCGAGAATGATATCAGCCAGAAGCGGCGCTGACATCATGACAACGTGTCAACGCAAAATCAATTTATGCCGAAGCGAAGCGGAAGAGCAACAGCCGTTGGCAGATACAGTTAACAGTTATACGCACCGATGAGCTTCTTCTCCTGGACGAACTTGACGCTGGCCAGGCAGTCGGCCGACAGCTCGATGGCCTGGTTGAAGCCCTGCTCGCCGCCGTACGAAATGTCCACCGTCTTCACGATCTTCGCTTGCAGTCGCTGCACACATAAAAACAACCAACCGGTTTCACTCACACAAAATTGACAATTCCCACAATTTCCGGCCATTTTTCACATTAAACGTGCATTTACCAAACGAATCTTTTTAAATTTTATTTTCCCAATAATTCTTAGGTTATATACAAACAACCTGGAGAAATAATAACCCTTACCACTATTTGTTCTTTTTATTTTAACAATTAATTTCCATCGTATAATAATAAATCCGCATTTAACTGAATCATTTTCGCCTCCTAAAATTAATAATAAAAATAATAATTAATAATAATGCAAAAAAATAGTTAGAAAAATCACTAAAAAATTTGGGAATAATTCAAAAACCCTTAAAATAATTTTGATAATAATTTAAATAATCAGAGACGGCGCTAACCTGGTCGAACATGTCGGACTGCGCCAGCTCGGTCTTGAAGTCGGCGCTCCCCGCCAGCACCAGGCCGGCGACGTTGACGCGGTCGTTGGCGATGAAGCAGGTGACGGCGGTCTCGGCCACCTTGCGCACGTAGTTGTGCCGCTTCTCCACGCGCAGCCGCGCGAACCGCAGCGCCGACTGCCCGCCGCGCCCTGCAACCGGGACCAGCATTCATTTAACTGTGTCGCACGCGATGCACATTAAGCGGACGCACCGTGCTTCTTGGGCAGGTCGACGGTGAACTGCGCGAGGATGTCGCGCGTGTTGCCCTGCAGCGTCCCGAACAGCGCCCCGTTCCCGTCCATCACGATGAACCCGAATTTCGTGTCGTCCGCCAGCAACGCCTGGAGTGCCTATCCAACAACAATTATGCATTAATATTCGTATTTCGCAGCCAAATAAATTATTACACGGGTCTTTTTCGAATTAATAATAAAATAAATATTATCCGCATTTATATTCGCATTAATAACCAAATAAAATATTATCCGCATTAATATTCTCATCAACAATAAAATAAAATAATATTAAAAAATAATACAGCAAAAATAAATCAATAGTTGAAGAACTGTGCATACTTCGGTGTGGAATTTGTTGTCGCAGAGGTAGAGCGAGGTGTTGATGGCCTTGAAGGGCTCGAAGTCAATGTTGACCTTCTTCTCCTTGCCCTCGTCCGTCACGATCGTCCCGCAGTATATCACCAACCCGTTCGTCGGCACTGCACCCAACACACACTTACACACCATCAAAAATGCACATCAAAACAACAAAATTCAAAATCGATGATTTCGCAAGCTGATTCCGTCGCCATTTTTTCAGCTAATGCTTCCTTTATTACAGCATGATTATTTTAAATAATAATATAGAGTCTATATTATAGACTGTATCCATCCTCCCTGTACAAAAATACGCATGGAATTATTTCCATAAACACTGAAATTTACACATAATTATGACATCATAATTCAAAAATCACAGCTTAAACCAATTTTCCTACTGAATTATTTTCACAATATTTCTATCAATTTTCATTTAACAATTTAAAATTAATCGCCACATGACACATAGATCAAGTTAATAATATAAACCAATTTCCATAATTTTAATCAATTAAACCAGTTTACACTCACAATCAACCTACAATTTATTATAATTTGTCAATTTTAAAAATCAAAATTAAGATATTTCAAATTTCAATGGCCATAAATTAATGATAATAATAGCTTCATCTATTACATAATTCTATATCAATTTAAAACGATCCACAAGTCAATTAAATTGAATTTTCTGCGGAACGCGTGACTAGCATTCCAACAGACTACCTTTGTTGTAGAGCTTGAGTCGCTGCTGCACACTGGTGATGGCGCCGAGGACGGACAAGCGGTTGACGCGGCTCTTGATGTTGGAGGCCGTGCCGAACTCGTCGGCCAGCATTTTGCCCACGCGCGAGATCTGGTCCTTGGGCGGGATGATCAGGGAGATCATGCTCGTGCCGTTGCCGCGCGCCGCCTCCAGACTCTTGATCAGCCGCCGGATCTTCCACATCTCTACGTTCCGGTCCGAGCTGTCGTCGCCCGCGCCCGCCGTCGCCATAATTCCTCTTTTCAATCAAATAATATCAAATCCACAGCGCAGACGCGCAGCGAACCCAACCAAGGACCTCTTTCTTCCTCCAGCGGTCTCCGCGATCCGCAGACACCCCAGCGCACACTGACAGAATATATTATCAATAAAATCTTCTATTCAAAACTGCTAAAAGATTTGGCTATCACTCGGGATAAAAAGAGAGAGGATATCGGGTCTCCGCTGCAGTCAGTTAAACGTGTCAGAACATGCACAAACGCCGTACTCTACGTAGCAGTCTAGCTTGTTTCCTTGACGCACGACACGCGTTCCGTCTCACGTTATGTCACCGTAATCCGCAGGGATCATGAAAAAAACTCGCTACAATAAATTCTATCTGTACAAAATACGGAAAAACCTCTTCAGAATCCCGAGATGATGAAATTGTGACAGAATCGAAGAAAAATCTATTCTGTGAAACAGATGACACGATGCACATCGCTCGTCTGGCTGTCGCCGCAATTAATCGCGGTCAGGCGCGCTGATTGGCTGACTAAGCTGCTTTGTCCAATCCATCGACAGTGGGGCGGTGCTGCGTTGATTCTTCAAATTTTGTTGGTTGGCTTTGCAATTTTTACCGTACGGTACTTAATGTGCTGGTGGGCGTTGCCATTCCCATTTTTCATTACAGTACAGTACATTCACAGAATCTGTGAACTGCAGAATAGTGCCCTGCAACGGAGTACGAAACTGCGTCCAGTCCGATCCGAACTTAAAAAATTTTATCCGAACCCAGTCCGACTCCGAATTCTAAAAATCGTACTCCGACCAATCCGATCCGAAAATATTTTTGGCCAATCCGAACCCACTCCGATCCGATCCGAAAAATTTTCGAAAAGAACACGTATTACTTGATTTTATTACACATCCCTACATTAAAAAATTTTTAATGCCATGTTTTCGGTAGCAAAAAGACTTCAGAATTCAGAAGTACAATTTTCTTGGGCATAATAAAGGGTACGCTGGAGGATTAGCATATACAAGAATGTTTTAGATAAATTTAGTTTTTCAGCACTACAGTGTCGAAGCATCTGGGGAGGTTAGTTATCTATCCTCACTGTCGGGAATCTGTATCAGATCTTTTTGTTGTATACGGTTCATCCCACGGATTACCCACATATTAGCCTGGGTCAAAAAAAGGGAGAGAAAATTAAAGGAAGGGATGTTTCTACACGTCCGGACTCCGGAACTAAAATAATTGGTAGTTTCATGTATTCTTTAGGACCTTAGAGTAAGTTTAGTTAAACGTATATAATATTACTGTTAAACGTATATAATTATATAATAGTTAAACGTATATAATATTAATATTTATAAATTATATCTTAATCTCCAGGATTAATCCAATTACAAACGCTGCAAATAAAAATGGGAAGCCGGTGCCTAGTGAAACTGACTGAGCTGCACAACACATGTGGTCCATTTAACGTACTGTAGTAGTTATACTAAAATTATTTGATAAGGCGATAACAAATAACGACATCATAACAATCGCAAAACACTCTAAATATTCAAAAGTGTCAGGAGAATTAATAAAAGGAAATGAAAGAGAATTAACAACAGTCTACTAAACAAAAGCAGATACTTCGGTGCAAATAAATTAAGCGCAAATGGAAGCATCGCGCGAAGCGCGACGCTGGCGAAAATTTTTGTTTTGAAGGCCGGTGAAATTCAATCAAAATTAATTAATAATATTTATTTAATTACGGATTATTCGGAGTCTCGTTTGCATCCGAACCCGATCCGATCAGGTGCACAAAAACTCCGAAACCACTCCGACTCCGAATTTTCCAGATTGAAATCCGTCCAATCCGGTCCGAAAATCGGAGTGGGTTCGAGTGGATCGGATTTCCCAGTCCGTTGCAGGGCTCTACTGCAGAATATGACGAAACAGTATTGGCACAACAGAATTTCATTATATCGAAGTTGTAAACAGACTTTTATGCAGGAGAACGTTTAGTTTCGATGTGTTGCGCTTTAGCTTACAGAAGAAAACAATTAACATCACAACGCAGTACACTCAATCAGCAGAAAACAGCCTCGCGAGGTCTAAGAACAGAGAACAACTGATCTAAACTTGCTCCCGGTGGAGCTGGTCCCTGAACGGAGGCCGCGTTCCCGCGCTGGATTTCTATGGTGATACGCTGGCGTAGGTATTCCGGTGCTCGTGCCTCGCCAGTTTCTTGCGGCCAGGGTCAAAAAAAGGGAGGGAAAAATAAAGGGAGGGATTTTGAGCAGTCGAAAAGAGGGAGGGAAAACTAAAGGAAGGGATTTTGTGTGGTCAGAAAAGGAAGGGATTTTGAGCGACCCTAAAATTTGAAGTTGTTCAGAGCGAGCAAAACAGAATTTCCAAGCACTACCTCCGGAAGCGGTTGTAAGATGTAAGATCTAGATATACTGGTAATCTTCCACTTTACACACAAAATCATGTCACATTCTCTCAGCATGCTTGAGATTGGATGCTATATGTTACCGTGAAATGTTTTTTAACTACATTTAGGTTTAATGTTTTTTAACTACTACAACATTTTTAACTACGTTTTTTAACTACATTTTTAACTACATTTAGTTTTTTAACTGTTTAAACTACATTTAGGGCAGTGTGCGCTAATTGTAAGCTCCAAAACCGATTAAGAAACCGATCCGATTAATGCTTTTTCATCCTGACTCAAGCGACCGCACCTCCCGAATGCGTCTATTGGACAATCCGAAACACTTCCGGTTGCACAAAATCTTAATCGCAACCGGTTGAGCAAAAGCGATTAAGAAATTTTCGGAATTTTCTTAATCGGTAAAAGTATTAACGGGATGTAATTGTTTGCAAAATGCCAATTTTACTGACAACTTTGAAAATTTGTTGTGCGCCTTTGGTTGGTCTGTTCTCGAAGTGCAAAGATTCATTATAAACCTTATAAATTGCACTTTTTAACATATAAGTTTTTAAAATGAAGCCTAAAAGTGCAAACGGGATATAGAATATTATGTTGTATGTGCCCCAAAAAAAGCTGCGCTGAAGCACCCAATGGGGCAACTTCAAGTTTGCTGTTTCTAAATATAACGTATAATTATTTTACATATTGGATTTATTTTGAAAAAATCTTGTGTAAAAAACAGTAAAGATATAAATTTTTAAACATTAAACTAATTCCCCTAACTGAGAAAACCACTGATCGTTGGAATTCGAATGGCTCAATTCCAAAACCAAAAAAACCCAGTATGTAAAATAATTTTGTCTTTCCAACGGTACCAAGAACAGCCAATTCCATTGCGGCAATGGATTATAAGGCGCGTAGAACTGTCCAAACTTTAATTCTAGTAAATATGGGTTTTTGTTTTTCGAAAATGGTCCTCTGCATCGGCGCAGACCTGCAGGTTGCATAAAGCGTTCATCAAATCGCAGTCTGCGCGCGGTAGCAGCGCAACGCAGACACGCAGCCCGCGTGCGGTTGTTTGCGGTTCGGTTTGAGAGGAGATGGCAGTTAAGTGAATCGAACGTACTACTGGACCCGAGCGTCGTTTTAGACCCACGGTACCTTTTGATCTTTTACACAGTTGTGCTTTTATTTGGATCTTCGACTTTCGAAAAAACATTCATTTTAAAGAGCATTTTGTTCTACCTGGGAAACTGTAGCTATTGTATCTCCTCTGAAAATGAAGGCAAAACAATTACCTCGCCTTAATCGGTTAGCGGTTAGTCTGAGGTTGTTTCGCTAGCAGTTACGATGTCTGACAGCCTAACTAGGGATACTGATCCGGGGTGCTTTTTGGGGGTCCATATTGCCGAATTTTCTATTTGACTCCTTGAAATTTTCGTATCGCTTGATTTGTTAATCGGTTTGGCGCACCTGTGGTGTTAAATCGATTAATAAACCGATTAAAAACCCGAGCGATTAAGAACTTTTCTGGAGAAAATGTCTTAATCGGATTCGTAATCGCTACCGAAGATGCTTAGCGCACGCGCCCCTTAGTTCATTTTGTAATCAAGTACGCAAGCAAAGCGAGGCTTTTCTTCTATCAAGAGGACGGGCGAAGCGAACCCACGTTTCTTCTTGCTGACATTTGAGTTTCTGTAACGGAGAGTGCCCATAACTTTAGGGTCGCCGACGATTTTCTTTGTGATTCCTATGCGACACAACATGGTGAGTCGAACTGAAATACCCGGTGACATTAAACATGGATCCCCCAGATCGCCGCCAGAGCTTCCGCTACCATGGTAACATGCCTAAATATTTCTAAATATTTCCAGATATTTCCAAATATTTCCAGATATTTCCAAATATTTCGAAATATTTCCAAATATTTCCAAATATTATTCTAGGAAAGTGCACCGCTGTAGACTAGCACTAGAAGACCGAAGCCAAGCTAGACTCAATCTTGACCATCGCTCGCACCGTGCTGCTCGCTTTCGGTTAGACTGCTTAACTTCATCGTTCAACGTGTGATTGCCCAATATTCGGCGTTTCCGACGGAAATTTGCCAATATTCCACCCAATCACCCTTGCTCTCCCGTTCGTGACCATCCGATCATATTATTATTATTATTTGTATTAGCGAATTATTATTTTTAAAAAAAATGACTTCCACAAATAGCCGCACTGTTAACTATACCGTTGAAAATGTAGATAATTTGTATCATTTATTGTCCGGAATCATTTCTAATGACGATCGTGCACCAAGTATTGCCCAGATTTGCCAGGAAAATTGTTCCCGTCCTAAAATCCTTATGCCTGATTGGGAATCGCTCTCTCCTGAAGTTTCCGTCAGGTTTGAAAACTTTCTGGGCGATATTACTTCTCGGCTTAAGAATGCTGAACTACTGGGTCATATTTCTGCATCGGATAATATTGAATTGTTAACCTGGTCTCTTGCCAGTTATCTTATTAAAATTCTTAACTGTAAGACTGTTTCGAAAACAAATTTTTTTGATAAAATTTTGAAGCGATCTGTTCCTCGTGAGTTACTTGACGAAAAATTTAAAATAACTGGCCGTATCACCAAAATTGTTCGCAAACGTAGGCGACTGCAGGCACGTGGTTTTCAGTTACCTGAAGAGGATTTGTTCGCTCTACAGCATCTCCGCGTCCTCAATAAAAGGTTATGTAATCAGATTGCTGAACTAAAGAAAGCTTCTGAAATTCAGTCTAATGAAAAGTTTTTTCTTAAAAATCGGTTTGACTTTATAAAAGAAAAGTTTTCGAAATCCTCAGGTATTAATTCAAATTGCCTAAATAAAACCGAGATCGAATCGCATTTCAGGCAGACGTACAATCCGGATAATCTCGAAGCGCTCGATCTGTCTTGGCTGAATGAAATTAAAATGCCAGAGGTGTGTGTTCCTTTTAACGAATCTCCAATTCTGGGCAGGGAAGTGAGCAGGGCACTGCTTAAAAAATCAGGGCGCACTGGCTCCGGTCTCGAT